AGCTTGCCTAGGTAGGAGAAATGGAGAGGAAACTGATCTGAAACTGAGGTTTCAGTTTGCTGGAACAAGAAAAATACCACTTCATCTAGACTTCTAAAATAGAAAGCTGAGGCACTGAGCCTGTGGTTCTCTGCTGTTCTTTCCCTATAACCAAGGATCCAGGTGCCCACAGTGATCATATACACTAAAGCAGCAGTTCCCAAACTCTGACAGATTGCACACCAATTTAAAACAATACAGCCTTAAGAACCACCAGGATTTTTTTCAGTTCAACCTTAAGTATCATGAGCAAATTTTTGTCATATAAAGTAATTATAATAAATCTGTTAATGCATATCACTGACAGGTTGTCTGCATACCACTGGTGCTACGTGTACCACAGATTGGGAACTACTGTGCTAAAGGACAGGGATCCTTAGAATTCTCCTTTAAGAATTTGGGTCTACTGATGTCATGTGTACAGCCAATAATGAAACCCTCCCTGTAAAAATTACAATAGTGATACTATACACTAACACTTTCATCACTGCAGGCAGATAAGAAGCACAAAACATGTCTCACCAGGAATGAGCTTTGCCATGGCCATTATTTACAAACAATAAAGCAACAAAACTGGAGGGATATATGGGTTAATATGGGTCAATACTTTCCTAAAGTAACAGCCTACTGCAGAAGCAAAATATCATTCCTATCACAATAACTGAAGGTAATCCCAATCCAATGTTAAATACCTCAGGTCACAAGCCAACAGTCACAAAGCATGACTAGCATCCTACACAAACCCACTGCACATTACTTTCCACAGTTTATCTTCACTTTACATTATTTTAGCATCACACATTCACAGGATGCCAAAATATATCTAACTGTGGCAGCGATACACATGCATAGTTTTCCATAAGCGGCCCATCATCAATATAAAAATCCTGTCGGTAATGGAAATTAGTCTTCTGCATTAATGGGAAAACAGGGTGCACTGGTGATACTGTCAAGGTTCAGTGTTAAAAAAGCCTCAAGCCACTTCCACGTAACCAAGATATCACGTAACATTTTAAAATTACATTACGTTTATCTGTTAAGCTTTGTCACCTGCCTCCTCCCCAGTTCTACCAAAGTTCCAGACTTTGTCCACCTTGTCAGCTTCCCTCATAAATCCTTCAGTGCCATCTTCTATTTATCTCCATATGCACAGTTATACCTCTCTGTGCTTGTTTGCAAGTCTCCCACACTGTCCACATATAGGTTTTTAACTTCCAGAACTAGGTGACTGTGTTAATGGTCAACAGATCCTTACCTCTCATGTTTTCAGAAGCAAGGACACCCAGGGAAGTGGAGGGAAGGCCAGCTGGGGTAAGGTCTCAGTTTTGGCTGTGCAAATGAATAACCAGATGTGCAGATGTCTTTCACCTGTTATGTAGAAATACTGCACTTATGTTGGCTACTTATGCACGCAAGTCTACAGGAGGGGAAAGTCCCTTGGACACTTGGGGAGAAGAGAGGACAGCCGAGGAGAAGCTAGAAGAGAACGCCTAAAAAAGCAGAAAGCAAAGAGTTGTTTTTGCTACTAGAAACAAAGGGAAGGCTCAGGGGAACTTCTCCTTACTGGGGAGAGAAGAAGTTCTGCTAGACTTCCAATGTCAGCCACAGATCCACAGTGAGAGGCTCATCATTTGACACACAAGAAAATTCAGAGTTCACCACCCTTAGCACAAAGCATTATGGTGAACATAGTCAGTTTTCCATCATGAAAGCCTTACAAAAGAGGTTTGCTATGCATACATCCTGTGCTTAGAAGGATTTTTAATATATAGCTCTATCCAAATGGTTATATCTAGATTGCAACACGAGAAACAAATTCTGTAGCAAAGCCCCCAAATGTCTGTGACACACGAGCACAAAATTCTGTGTAAGTGCTGTGTAGCCGCACAAAGAATGCACCACATAAATACACCGGAGATTTGTTTGCTCTATGCCACAAAACACTCTCATTTAAGTAAACTCTTGTAGCAAAGCAATAGCACTGGGTCTGTAAAAAATTTTTAAAAAACCCAGTCACTGTTATTTCACATGCCAGGCACTAGTGATTGCAAAACAAATGTGTGCCTTAAAATTATATTTACACAGTAGATAAACTTGTCATAGGATTTCCATTCAAGGAGAACTTTGACCACTATTTAATGGCACCTACAGGAGATTCCTTTACCCTCTCATTCAGAGCGTTATGTGATACTTTTTTGCTCCATACATCAGGCACATTAAAAGAGAGGTCCTGTATGTTGTTAAAAAAAGGGTAAAACCTTAATCAATTAAGTCCTTCTGGATCAGGAAAGTGTAAGAACAGCATCAAAATGGTAAAGAAGATATGGATTTTGGTGCACCCGCAGCAAACATAACACTTAGGCTCCCTCTACATGTGCAGCTAAAGGCACAATGGGATCTAATGTGCAATTCACATAATCGTGCCTCCTGCCATGCCACAAGTGCATAGCAGGAGGTGCAACTGTCAGACCACGCATTAGATGCCATTGTGCCAATTTAAACTATCATAAAATAAATAGAAAGATTGATAATAGAAATGGTGCATGCCACTGAAAGCTATACCACTAGAATATAAGAAACCAAAAATAAAAGAGAAGGTTTTTACAGAATGGCAGCACTGCACTGGGATTAATTCCTACTCTCTCCTGCAGCAGCAGCAGTGCCAGTATCCACACACAGGCAGGGAACTACTCAAGCTGAATCCCTTTTAATATCCTTTGCCTTAGTGAGAGGCAAACAGTTTGAAATGCACACACAGAGAATAAGCCAGAAGCTACAATTATGAGAAGTATGTAACAACCATTCAGCGAGCAACAGAGAAAGCTGTAACTTCTATAGCATCCCCATAAAGACAGGGTGCGGAGGAGACTTGTGGACACCTTGGTACAATTACCTAACCTTACTGAAACATAAGAAGATTGAGATTTGTGGTAAAAAAGCTAAAGAAAAGCTTGTTAAACTATGTGTAAGTATAAATGTACATGGAGAGAAATATGCATGTTCAATAAGGTGACTACCCTTTAATTAAAGGGAGAGTCACTGAACCTCTTAATTCCGTATTTACTGATCTTACGGAAGAGTTCATTGTGTTGTTGTTAATGTTTTCTCATTTAAATAGCAGTTTGCCCTGCACACATTAAGTACCGTCTGGTTTTTCAGTTTTGTTCAAAGGTTGAACTGAGAAGCTGTAAGAAACGTTCTTAGGATTAAACGTTTATTGTTTTCTGGGGAACAAAACTGTATCACAGTAGGGGAGAAGACAGAAAAAAATAAAGACTGTGATCATGGAAAAGCAGAGGGCTCACATGGCACATAGAGATGAAGTGGTACAATGCTAAATGTTGGGCAATTTACATCACTACCCATTACATCAGCTTCAGATCCAGAGTGAAAAAATAAGGAACAATACCCGATTCATACACTTAATGATACAGATGTAAAGACCAGGAGTCACTTCCTGTGCTGTGCCTCTTTTGGCAGCTCTACTGTTTGGCAGAACAACCAACCCAACTATAAAGGAGTATGCAGAGGGTCATGCATTAACATGGCTATACTTCTTCCAGTACTCAAACTAACTTGTTGAGAGCTGTGGGGGCATGACACAGAGTAAGGTAAAGCTGATGACATTTCCATTCTGTATTACTCAAAGGTTTCCCTTTTAAGGCACACAATTAGAGTAATCCACAGGGTCTATGGTAGCTTTTGTGCAACAAAAAAATCTTGTGTGACCGCAGAATGTCCAGACATCTAAATTCTACTCTTTAAATTCTAAAATGTGAAACATACAGGTCAATTTATATATCACAAGAATAGTATTACAAACAAATTAAAAATGAGTTCCTGAATTACCTGACTGCTAAATTAAGAGCCTGGAAAAATACACTGTTCTCTAACAGCAAACATACCAAATACCAAACAAAAAGCAGACTCGTCATATCTTGAGGGAAATCCAGAATTGGCAATTACAGTAGGTCTGGACAGGTCAGTAAACAAGGAAATGAATTTCAAATGCTTTTATAAAATGTACTGTTGGTAACTTTGAGCGTTACATATATATTACTTCAGTGAATTGGGACATATGGGTGAGGTCTTCAGAAAAATTCAATTTTGGCTTACCTCTGCTTCAAGTGAAGCCAATGATAAAACACTCAACAAGCTGAATTTTACCAACAGTATCAGTAGTGGTGGAATTTGTCAAACACCATGTTTTTAAAAATCCACCCTGGATCTATTTCTGTTCTTCAAATAGCTTATTTTATAAAGCACCCAGTCCTATAACTATATATATTTTTGATGCACTTCAGAACCAGGTACACTTCAGAAAAAGAGAAACCAACATGCAAGACAGATGTTAGGTTTGTAGTGCTACAAACCCCTTCATTGTGCTACAAAAAACATATCCAAGCACCCCCCATATTGGTATAAAAATGTGCAAACATTACAGAAATTCCACCCATACTACAGAAGTGTTCATGTTTGTAGCACCACACGTAACTTCTGTAAAGTTGCACGTAGCAACAAAGGAGAGCTGCAGGCTCCATGAAAGCCCACCACGAAATCTTTTGCCATTCTGACCACTGGAGGAGCAATAGCACTCCTTGCTGCCCTTCTTCGCAATGACTTGAGCAGCAGCTGTGAAAGATGTTCTCCCACCTTAACTCACTTGCAAGGAGTCAAGGGACTGTCCATGATTGGGCTCACTGACAAGCTTCCCTGGAGGGAAGATGTGGGATGGGGCGGTAAGAGGGAGGGAGAGAGACAGAGAGAGAAGCCCCACTTCAACCTCCTAGATGGGGAGCCTATCTTAGTGGTAACTTTGCAGTGCTCCAGCCAGGGGCTATTGTTGTATAAATTAACACATAGTCAAGGCCCAAATATATTTTTGCGATTGTCTCCATTTTCTAAGTATAATTATCTTTATTCTCCTGCTTGTCTTTTTTCACTGGCAAGTTTGTGCTTACCTCCTCAATTGCACCTGCTGAAATTCTATGACCTGCAACATTGATCACATCATCAACTCGAGACAGCACATATAAATAGCCTTCCTCATCCATGTAACCTGCATCCATGGTATCATAGTAGCCCTGAAAACAGAACCACAAAGAATAACCTGGGATTAAGACAAGAAATAAGAGTGTTCTACAAACAAAAATAAGACTGATTTGGTGAAGTAGAAGAAAAAAAGTCTACATTCTTCCTATCTAAAGTTTATGCTTTATGTCATGCATATTCACAGTAAACTAAAACATGCTGAATCACATTGACTCTAAAGAATATCAGCTCTGTCTTTTCCTTCCTTTCTTTTTTTACTCTATTATTTTATTCTGAAATACTTTATTCAGAATTCCTTTTTCACAATATAGCTCGATCATGCTCTCCAAGTGAGTTTCATGACTTGTGTGAGGTTAGAATAAGAGAACGTAGCAGGCCTCCATGTCCAGGCCTCCCCTACACTATTCACTTTTCAGCGCTTGTCTCATGTAGGGTACCTCTTCTGAATCCAGTAGAAATAGCTTCTTACAACGAGGAGAGGGGCAGCAAAATTAACCTTGATCCTAATGATAGTCTTGTTATTTATATCTGGAATATCATGTTCTGGAAGCATAACAGCAACAGCTTGCCACTGAACAAAACAACAGCTATTTACTTGGCTATTTCAACTGTCAGACCAATTCTTCTTTGCTTTGACACACACACACACACACACACAATTCCATATAGAAAGGAGATGTGAGCGCTTGGACAGTCCACGCTATGTATTTATCTGATGAGGGCAGCATAATTAATTTAACTGAAGTGCTCAGTCCCCTTCCTAGTTGTGCCCTCCTGCTCCATACATGCCACCCATGGAAGTCAAACTGATTTTTTTGGATCTCCTTCAAATTAGAGCCATCACATGCTAATACTCCATATAAAGAAAGGTTTGACTTTAAATGTTTTTAGCTTTACATATCTGTACATAGACATACGCATGGATCCATCAAACTCTCTCAAAAAAAGAAGGAATGATATAATCTAAGTTAACTAATATCTTTGCCATAGTTTAAGTAGTTCAATTTGCAATTCTTACTGGAAATTTTTGGAAATATATCTTCTTGGTCATTTCCTGATTTCCCCAAAGACCTGAGAAGGCACCAGGAGGCAAAGGCAACCTGTCATTTTAAAAAAAAGAACACAGTGAAATAGAAAAACAGAAAAAACATGGTAGAGTACACAGTCAGAATCAGAGAACTGAATTCATCTCTCATACTCAGGTAAATATATATTGATTACTTAACAGCACAATAGTCCTGTTTCATAACACTATAGGTTGCTTGCTGACTGAAGAAAGTACAGTTGGATGTACAGTCATGATGGCCCAGGAAATATGTTTAAAATACTTTTCCAGACCTAGGGAAGAGGACGTTATGCCCAAAGGCATGTCTATCATCTCTCTCAACTATACAGTTGATTCAAAAAAAGTATTAGCAAAAAACCACTTGTGCACTGAGGTAAATCATGTTTAAAAAACTAACGATATCATCATATACTCCTAGAGTTGCATATATTTTTAATCAAGATGCTTTATACAAAACAAGTGTCTGACTTCTATCTGACTTTTGGTAAAATAATGAAAGATGTGTTATATTTATAGACATTTCTTATCCAGTTTAACATATTGCCTGAAATAAGACATCTGGCAGAAATTCATACTTGATATGCTATACTGATACAAGTATTTTATTACATATACACACACACTTCACATACATACACTCACATCAGATCAGTTTCTCATTTTACATAAATTGTCGTATCCCAATTGATTCACCTCATCAAGAACTGGATCATAATGTTTTTCAGGTGCTGCTGTTGTGATAAGGGGAAAACATTTTTCTAAAATTTATAAATTATTGGAGGGAGAAGTGAGCCAGTTACTGCATTAATTAGTGGAGGCAGAAGCTACAATGCACCAACATCTGAGTCCTCAACTTCTGCTCATCACCCCACCACACACATTCTGCTCAGCACACGCACACACACACACACACACACACACACACACACACACACACACACACACACGAGGGTAGAATAAGATCACAACACAGGCACATATGCATTGAGCTAAATGTGTGTGTGTGTGTGTGTGTGTTGAACAAAAGTTGAGGACTCGGGTTGGTGCATTTTAGCTTCTGCGAGTGCTACTTTGTCTACTAAGTGAACACAAATTATTTCTGAATATATAACCCCCTCTCCAATAATGTATGCATTTTAGAAGAGGTTTTCTCCCCATATAACAACAACAGAAATAATAATGATACCTGAGAAACATCGTATAGAATAAAGTATATACACATCTTTCAAGCAAGGGTCTAGATGTGAAGAAGATGGGAGGGGAATATTCCACATGAATGTTTTTTAGATGGGAAAAATTCTTTGGGTTGAAAAGAAGAAATAGTAGTTTCTTCCTCCAAAGGTTTGACTGTCTGTGTGGATAAAATGTTAAAGAAACTGGCTTTAATCCTAAAAGCTACAAAGTCAGGAGATGAAATGGAGTTTTATAAAGCTTACCTCTGAAAGGAGAGAGCACGCAAGTGAGCTCACAAGCAAAAAAGACAGCAAGGAGGAGAAAGAACACATATGTCAGATAAAATCATGTAACTTTGCTTATGTGATGCAAGTTCCACTAAGGCTGTCTGTTCTGGTCAGATGTGCTCCTTCTCTGCATACCCTCATTGGTATGCATGTTTAGAGGTATGGGACATATTTGTGCCTGTTTTAAGTGTTTGTAGATAAAGGGTGAAAACAGGCACAAGGGTGAAAAGGGTCCGGTGGATCAAATACTTGTGTCCACAGGCCCTCTCTTCCAAACCTGTAAAGTCTGTAGGCACATAAACCTTGCAAAAGGCAAGTTATGTAAGGGGTTAGCACTCAGTGAGCTGTGCAGAGATTTGCAATGGGGTGGCCTTCAGTTCCAGCACAAATGTGGCACATGGAAGAAGGAAAAGAGATTCTAGACAGGAGTTGTGGCAGAATGCCATCTCTGTCTCTCCCCAAACTCTGCTATCAGGTGGACGCCTAATCTGACAATTTGGTTACCATGGTCACTGCAGAGGGCGGACCCCCTAACCCCACTGGCTTCAAGCAACCCTGAGTTGTAACCTGAGCTGGATACATTCCAGATGAAGTGGGAGACCTGCTCCCTCTGCCTGCGTGACTGGCCTCACACAGCTGGGTATGGGCCTATTGTTCTAAGCAATCTCATCATGACTGGGAGGGGGCTAAAGACCCTGCTAACCAGTTATGCATTTCAAATGGGTTGGTTGGCAGCCAACAGATGCTGGCCTTCACTGGATCAGGTAAATTAAGTCATACTATATAAGTTAAGGACTGCCCACAAGGCAAAGCAGAAGCCATAAGAACTCTAAGAGAAGCTGGATTATCAGAAACTCGCTCTCTCTCTTGAAACTCATGGTCAATGAACTGCTTGCCTCCAGAGGGAATCTTCACATGCCTCTGGATGATACTTGTCAGTAAGCTACTCGAGATCTAACTAGATATATAGCTTGCAGTAACTCAGATGCATGTTCAAAAGCTACCATGCCACTGTTTGCTCCAAGGTATTTCACTGATATTGCTCTACCCTGTACCAAAAACAGCTGTGCTGGGCTCCACAGCTCCGGAATCAGCTCTGGCATCAGCTCCGTGCTGGCTGCAACTGCGCAGACACCTTGGGGCACACTGCGCTGCCCTGCTGTCTGCCCTGAGGTGTGCGCACAGTCACTGCCAGCATGGAGCTGATGCTGGAGCTGTGGAGCCCGGCGGAGCTGTTTGCAGCCTGCCCACTGCTTGCTGCAGCTGCCCAGAGCCCAGGCTGGCTACAAACAGCTGCACCGGGCTCCAGAGCCCAGTCACCAGCTCTGTGCTGGGAGTGGGGGAGAGACCGGGGCTGCACTGCCTTAGGCCCCTCCCCCACCACCTGCTCTGATGCACGGGTACATGCACCGGTACGGCGCTGATGCTGGGGCTCCAGAGCCCAGCGCAACTCTTTGGAGCCTCCAGGCTGCAGCCGGCCCTGGCTCTGGGTAGCTGCTGCCAGCCACAGAGCCCCAGCTGCTCCCAGCAGGCAGCTGGGATGCTGCAAGCCCTGCTGGGAGCCACCTGGGCTCCAGCAGCTACCCAGAGCCGGGGCTGGCCTTGGTGTGCTGAGTAAAATGGCCTCGCATGCCATGTTCGGCACGTGTGATCAACCTGTTCCAGTGGCCAAATACAATCATTTGGTGCCTAAATTAATTTAATGCCTGTATTTTAGATAGCAAAGATTCCATAAAGCCATAACTTACATGGCAGAAGTGTTCTCATCTGGACAAAGTTGTGCCTGACTCGAACTTAAGTTCCAATGCAATCAAAAATGGACCAGGGTGGCATCTAACTTCCAGGTATGTCTTTGGTGGACGCAGTCTGTTAAACCCACTGAGAGCACATTGACACCAATGAATGTAATGCAAAATGCATTAGGAATGTTCACTGTTACTCAAACACATGGGTGCTGGTGATCATGGTTTAAATCATCTCAGGCTGAGGAGGGCCTAGAACCCAATTCCTTGGTGAATTCTTTTACCACAAAGCTATAATAGCAAAATCAAACACCACCACCACCACGCCCTTCTCACTAGGCACCTTCTATTGGAAGAGAACTTAAATCTTTGGAACCTTGATG